AAACCAAGACAAACAACAAAACTACTATACACAACTACAAAACTACTAACACCCAGGACAGGTCTTTCTTTTCAAAGAAAAGAAGAAGAGCTGCCCTGGGTGGTATTCGAACCCACGTACTCTGCAGTCTAGGTGAGCGCTCTACCAACTGAGTCTACCAGGGCAACTCAGCTGTAGGGTTCGAATCTATACACAACACAATACAACACAAGCAAACTCAAACCACTGTCCTATGGCACAGTAAAACTCTCACTCAGTATGTAGGAGCAGACCGGGGTAATCAAACCACCGAAAGTGCCCAACTCCAAACCGAGTATATGCATGTCTCAGCAACTTGGTAATTAGGTAGAAAAGCAAGGCAACACAGTCAACTACACCCAGGACAGCTCTTTATTTTCAAAAGAAGAAGAGCTGCCCCTGGGTGGGATCCATGACGACCACCATATTATTCTTGAACAACATCATATTATAGCTTCAGGCACTTTTCACACCTGAAACATGCTAACGGTAGCACTCATGGAGATGAAACTTGGTACGAATGCACATTGACACATCTTTCCATGACAACCACATACTATTTGAATAACAATAGCCTCAGGCATTTTACTGTTCACTCCTCAACTTGCTAACAGCAGCACACATGGAAATGAAACTTTGGTATCGCATGCGTATTTACATGATTTCCATGACGACAACAGTGTATTTTTCTCTATATGTTAATTATTATATATAGGGGCTTGCCCCTTTCACAGAGATAATTATTATATGTATATAAAAATGAGTGGAGACAAGTAAATAAAAAATCCTGCAAATTTAAAAAAGAGGCATATATTATAGGGAAAAGAAAGGGAGACAAGATAGGGATGGGATACCAGAGAGAGAAGTTGTGGTATGCTATGCTGATGAGGGCCAACAGGCCCGAAACAGCTGTCCAGAGCTCCCATATTTTTTCTCTTGGCATCACATGGTGTATTTTGTTCATGAAGCATGGTTAATGAACAGATTTGAGCACGCTGACACCCCCAACCCCATCACACAATCCCTATAATGTTGCCTAGGTGAAGTATTAAACATTCACCATTACAATACTCAGAACTTACATAGTACTGAGTAATCAACATCGTTATAGAGTCAAAGTGGAATGGAATGTGGCGGTATAAAAGTAGAAATGAGTAGCCAACACTGTTATAGAGTCAAAGTGGAGTTTAATTAAAGGGAATGTGGCAGTATAAAAGTAGAAATGTTATCAAAAACAATAGGGAGCCGGTGAAAGAATGCTTGCTTTTAGTAACCGTTAGCTCTTAGCTATTTATAATGCCACATTCCCTATAAGAGTAGCACACCAGGCAAAATATAGAGATTGTGTGATGGGGTTGGGGGTGTCAGCATGCTCAAATCTGTTCATTAACCATGCTTCATGTATCACATCCCTATCTTGTCTCCCTTTCTTTTTATACCATCCCTATATTCCTCTCTTTTATAAATTCACAGGATTTTTAATTTTCTTATCACTTCAAGTTTTTGACCTTTAAGTTGCGTGGGCAGGGGCACCTTCACGAGCACCTTCTTCACCCCATTAGCTATACATTTCACCATAGAGGGCTAAGGAGCGCTTAAGAGCTGTAAGCATTACAAATCATGTCAGGTGTCACCCTATAGAGAGCACAAGGGACATGCCACAGAGGCTTATGTTTACTGTTTTGCGGTAGTGGTTAGGCAGTATAATAATATTGTGGAGGTTAGCTACAAGGAATGTGCAGTCAATGAGATGCCAGAGTTGCCAACCACTCTCTTTGAAAGAATCACACAAGATTATCAATTCTGTATTGGCTACACACTCGTTTATATTATATAGCTAGCTAGCTACGGTTTGTGATTGTCACAACTGATACAAACCAGGCATTAACCCATGCAAGAGAATCACTTTTTGCTCCAGCATCTCCGTGATGACCACCAGGATGGACAACATACACCCCCTCCCTGAATCTACTGCAGCATTTCCTTCGACAGAATAATCGTTGTGGGAAGACATAAACCCTGAGTCCACCATCAGCCTCTCCCTCCCAGCCATCTGTTGAACATACTTGACTGACTTTGGTTGTCTCCTTCCAAGAAATGTTCAAGTTCTTGAGGGCTTTATTTAAGGACACCTGGTCAGCTCGTCCAGTTACATTTGACAAATATCTCCAAAACGTCTCTATATAGGGCAGGGAAGACATTATTATTAATTATCAGCTATGTCTTTCTGCATGGAAAATGACTTAGAATCGTGGACAGATATATAATATTATGTCAAGGATTATTTTATACATGATAAACTATTATTATGAATATTATGTCATGGGCAGGCAGCATAATGTGTGCATCTCTACTGAACACACTATACATGAAAATGTGAAGGAGCAATGAAGTAGCTAGTCACATTTCATTCATGATCAACCACACAAAACCTGCTATTGCAGATGGTTCTACCAACATTATTGGTAGAAAGAGACAGATAAATACCTGTAGCAGAAGTGGCTCTGTATAAAATAGCACCAGCACAGAGAGTGAAACCCCACGGCTCGGCTTGAGAGTCTGGCCACATACTGGCAGAAGACAGAATGTCATGAGTATACTTTTCAAAGAGCGTTTGAGGGTTTTTAAGAACAACAGCATCGGAATCGTAAGTTGCAACATCAAAGCCCCAGTAGTTGATAAGTCTAAGGATTATTGGTCGGATCATCATTGATGCCCTCCATAAATTGTCACCTTTAGAAGATAGCATGGTGTCTACCGGAGCTGCAATGCAAGTTATATCTGGTGGATGATTCATGTACAGCATACTGCTGGCTAGAAAGTTACAGAGCAATTGGTCGAGAGAGAGTACCAACACATTGTGTAATGGAGGTTTTACTTTGAGTGTAGCAGCCACAACCCAATTCACGACTAAAATTCTGTGCTTGTAGTCAGCAAACACCAGGTTCACATGAGGAGTGACATTTCTGTTCAGTGTCATAAGGTAATGGTGAAGATCTGCTACCCAAGTTGTGTTCTTTAGCTCCTCTGAACTCTTGAGATACTCGTGATGAGGCAGTGTGTCGTGATCAGGAAATAAAAGAAATCTCTTCTGCTTTGGTAAAATCATCCTAGAGCCGGACGTCGCGAGTCCTGCCAATGACGGAGGACGGACATCGATCACTGCGGTAAGTTCAGCTTGCTGTGTGGACCATTTTTCCAACCCATAAGCGACCAAATATACCAAAGTAAAACTAAGAAAGATGATCGTAGCACACTTTCTGTCCATAACCTAATGAAAAGCACATTGTGATATGACGCGCACCCGTAAGCAAACGCATGCGCCGTACCACTAATTGATGGGCTGGGTTTAGTTGCAGCTGTTACTCGTGGTCTCTTGCCAGCTCGCGCAGAGTCTGACGCGGACTAACTACACTACTAGATAGCATACGAGAGGCGATACACACCCTGCGTTGCATCTTCTGGTATATACCTCCGAGGTACGCAGAGCACGCGGATCGATCGGACCATGGTAAGCCGTTGTGTATTTGCATATTGGCTTTTTCGCGCTCTAGCTTTGCAACGGAGCATTTTCAGAGAAAACCGCACAAAATTCTGACCATCATTGGAAGTCGTATCGTTTGTGAGACGAACGAACATTGGAGAAGTGAGATGTTGAGTAACAGACACACAGACACAGACAGACACAGACAGACAGACAGACAGACACCCACACCCAACTACAGTAAACCCTCGCTGCGCATGCGCGCAGAGGGTTAATGAAAGTCGGCGAACTGCGCATACGCTCACGTCGCGAGTCGGACACGGGCTAGCTACAGTAGTAGATAGCATGCGGGAGTCGATACATGCCATATGTTGTGACTTTCTGAGCCCCAAATGTACACAGAGCGAGCGGATCAGGTCGCGGTAAGCCCAGTACGATTATGCATATTATTGCTTGTTTTCACGGCATATCTCAGGATAATCGCCCTTTTATTTTCAGGCTCGCGTAGTTCTAAAGCCGCTGGTATCACTAATAGGCCGCCTCGTAGCCTGTAGTGCCAGAATATGCGTCGACACACACACACACACACACACACACACACACAGACAAACTAACACTCGCTGCGCATGCGCGCCGAGGGTTTTGCTTCTCTGGCAATCTCTCGATTGCACGTGTGTTTTCATTTCCTCGCAGTGTACAGGGCGTAGCAGGGATTCTGCGCATGAGCAAAAGTATCGACGGCGGCGCGGGTCCGGCGTGCAAAACTCGGCGAGAAAGATGTAACGCGCTGGCACGGATACCTAATGCACACCACCAAGAAGGTAGAGAGACATAAGTGTTGTAAATAATCAAACTAGTCAACACCATGGACCATAGAATTTCTGAGTCACAGTAGGGTTCGTTTCTGAGACCTCTGCTCTGATCCTCGGCGCGCATGCGCAGCGAGGGTTACAGTAATGGATGGGTCTGTGTGTGCGTCTGTCTGTCTGTCTGTCTGTCTGCAGCTATTCTCGCACTACAGGGTTCGAGGCGGCCCATGAGCGATACCAACGTCTTCAGAACTACGCATGAAAATCCAAATGACGATTTTCCTGAAACGACTGCGTTCGAGAGATATGCCGTGAAAACAAGCGAAAAGTCTATTCCACCAGCTTACCTCGACTGATACGCTTGCTCATTGTACCTTGCGGAGGTCCTCCCGCATCGGGATACTATCTTATAGTTTAACTAGCCCGTGTCAGACTCTCCGCGACCAACTATAGCATACGTGGAGACCAGGAGTAAACGCATACTCATAGCCCAGCCCATCAATTGGCGGTGCCGGGCATGCGTAAAGCGCCGAGGGTTTGCACTTCAGTGCTTTGCATTCTTTCTCTCATTGCATAATGTCATCTTTTCTTGACCTCCTTTGCACATTATTTGCACAATACTTATATATACGTCTTCGCGCGGGACTCGGAACGCCGCGGTCCCCTAGGACCTTGGCCAACTTCGTTTTCCTGACTTGTCGTTTCAATCGTAGCCACTCTTCTTATGTCGTTCTTTTTGAGTGTTTCAGTCTACCCTCAGGTCCCAGTAGCAACCTGGTAATTTCTTTTTAGCTGAAACTGAACCACCAAAGCATGGCGTGCCAACCCTCCCTAATAACGGGCGTAGAGTCTGTGAATCTAGGAGTATTGATACCGACCGAGATATTATGCTTCGAAAAAGGAGGCGCCTATTGTACACTCAACTCTGCGTGCTTTGAAGCACAGCTTGAACAGAGTAGCATAGCAAATAGCAATTCTTTCGCTCACGAAGGAAGAGGAGCATGTTATATACAGTGGAACCCTGCTTAACGGACACCCCTCTACAACGGACACCGCGTTCTGCTCTTGGCCTTCATCTCCTGGACCAAGAGTTTCGCCCCTGTCTTCAATATTGGCTGGGGCTCCCAATTTTTGTGGAGGGGGTAAGGTGCCCTGTCTGCCGGAGCATTGCTGACCCCTTCAGCGATCACCATGTGGGTTGTGGGGGTAATGGGGATCGTATCCATCGTCACAACTCTATCCGGGATGCAATATTTTCAGCAGCACAGACAGCTGCTTTAGCGCCCCGGAAGGAGTTTCCATCTCTCGTGCCCTGCTCCCAATCTCGCCCTGCTGACATTTTCCTCCCTAACTGGGAAAGAGGTCGTCCAGCCGCACTTGACGTCTCCGTCATTTCCACTCTGCAACAGCTTACTTTGAATGGTGCAGCCAGTGTCCAAGGGCACGCATTGAGAGTAGGAGAAGAGAGGAAGATGGACCTTCACGCAGCCTCATGCCGGGCTGTGGGAGTGTCGTTTGTCCCTCTCCTGGTCGAGTCTCTCGGAGGCTGGAGTGATCTCGCTGCCAAAACCCTCTCCAGTATCGGTCGGCTCCTAGGGCAGCGGCTGGGCTTACCTCCCTCCGAAACCACCCGTCACCTCTTCCAACGGTGCGCTATTTGCCTCTGGAGAGGAAATGTAACTCTGTGGCTTCACCGTTGCCCAACGCCTCCCCCGCACATTGACAGTATTATTTAGCGTTTTTCTTGGTTGTTGTTGTTGTTTTTTTGTTGTTGTATTTTGTCTATTTGTTTGTTTGTTCTTTGTTTTTGCTTTTTTTTTTTTGCTTGTCTATTGTATCGTTTACTTCTCAAAAAGTTACTAACTAAAAAAAACAAAAAAAACAAAAATGTGGGTTGTGGGGGTAATGGGGATCGTATCCATAGTCACAACTCTATCCGGGATGCAATATTTTCAGCAGCACAAAGTCATATCATAGCATATCCTTGTGTTCTACAGGAGTTCGAGTTGCGTACATACATAAGGATATGCTCGTGAGCCAAGACCCTTTAAAGTTAATGACACGCGTGTGCATGTCCCACATACAGGATCTATAGGAGGTTCTATGTTGGAATTGGTTTTACTCAAGTATGGTGCCCAACCATGTCTCTGAGTGGTAAGTATAATACCAGTAAAACTTTGAAGCCAAACGAGACCCTGAAGAGCAGGTTATTATTATATTATTATTATGCTTTAGAGTACATGATAATGGTAGCAAAAAAAGAGAAAACAGTGAAAGTGGAGAGGATGGATGCATTAGAGATGACATGTACTGAAGGTACACCAGATAGATGCTGATGTCCAAGGAGGTAGAATAACTAGTAACTATGGACGAACACAAACACTTAGCACATGGGCATACATGGGCATACATAATGGAAAGAACAGGGAGCTCCCGCTCGCCAATGAGGAAAATTCCGCGCCGTTCGTACCACTAGGTTAGCTCGCTCCCGCTCGCCAATTATAGCTGCGCTCCGTACACGTGCAATTAGCTATGGTACGCCATTTCCGTCAAAAGTAAGGGCTCTCTGCCTGTCAAAAGTCGATCTCTCAATCGATCTTTCACTCGATTTTTCGGGGGGAAAGACTGTGCAGTAGAAGGTGGCGTTGCTCCCCAGCGGTGCAGTGACTGGCTGTGGAGCATTCACAACAGCGTGCTGGACAGGGGAAAGAATAATAGTTAGCCAGCTCATACATTAGAGAGCGCTGCTGCTGCACACTGAACTGCAGAGGCGAAGTTGCACCACTCACCCTGACAGTTGCCAGTCGGCGGTGTGTTTTGAGTTTGTGTATGATTCACCGAAATACTAGGAATGCGCACGCGCATATTTTGCCTTGCGCCTGCTAGCCAATGCGTGCGTAAACAGTCCGCTGAGGCCGCTCGTTCGCGCGCTCTACTGACTGCGCGCGAAGCAAGACTTCTGCGCGCACGGCGGAAGCTAGACTTCTTACGAATGACCGAGGTTGGCATTCCTAAGCGTGACTAATTGACATTCCCCAAGCGTGACTAATTGACATTCTTAAGCGTGACCGACACGTACATACGTACGCATATCGCGAGAATACAACCCGGAGTAGTAGCCTCGCGCTAATGCGCTCGGCAATCATATAGAAAAAAAAGGAACGGGACCAAGACTAATGGTATTGCAGCAGTCGGCATTTCCAACCCAACGCAAATAAGGGCCTAATAGCTGAACATTACTATAACTAGGAATGCGTCGCGCCTGGCAGCCAATGCGTGCGTAAACAATCCGCTGAGGCCGCGCTCTACTGACTGCGCGCGAAGCCAGACATTCCTAAGCGTGACTAATTGGCATTCCCCAAGCGTGACTAATTGACATTCTTAAGCGTGACCGACACGTACGTACGCGAATACAACCCGGAGTAGTAGCCTCGGGCTAGCCTTCTCCCTTTTACGCTCCTCCATCCAGGCCATCAGGGGTGCAAGATCATCATGCGGACATGCCATCAGAATGCCCATGGCGGTCGATTTGATCATCTCGGAAACACACCTTGTATCACTCTAAATTGCTCTCTATCTTCTTATTTATACCTGCATTCATACTGTATATAATATTTAAAAAAATAAAAAAAAGAGTAGTAGCCTCGCGCTAATCTCCTCTCTTGGTTTCCTAGAATCCTAACCCACCGTCTGTTGCTGCAACAGCGAATGAGCGTGAGAGATCGCCGATCGGGTCGTAATTATGCGCATGCGCATACATTACCGCGTCCGATTTTAGTATCTGGTTCCTAGAGTCGTCAGCAGATGGATGCAGGCATTGAAGACTGAAACAGCAAATGCTTGATTGGGCAGAATATTCAGCTCTGCATTTTTACTGAAACCTCTGTTTTATTATACTCAGCCACACTAGATAACACATCAGTCACCGTATACCAATATTGAAGCACATGGATAAAGAATGAGGTGTTGGAAATGAGATATATAGCTGCTCCAAACTCCTCTTTCTTCTTCTTCCTCTCTCCTCTTCCGTCTCCTCTACGAATTGCAAACAATGTACCACAGGAACCAATGACCACACCCACTGCATGGTAGGGACACCAATACAGAGATGATTGTGCTAATAGCCACAGCAAGTCCAGTTGATATACTCTCCTTCTCTTCTCTAGTGTCAGTACAAGTGCTTTTACTGGCAGTAGGCAGATCTAGTAAGTAGGACTAATGGCAGTTAATTGTTGCATGTATCTATAGCTACATACGACCTCAATGTTTAGCTGACAGTGTGAAACAGTAATGCTGGCCACTGCCAGGAGAGGAGTTTAGTGACAGTAAATAGGCAGACGACAGGGCGTTCAGGGAGGATGTTGGCCTGTCACATCTGCTGAGGAAGACACGTCTCTCCACTGTCTCTCTCACTCCAAATGACAGACACACGTGTGTAGGGGACACACGCTGCGACAGCGAGGGTTCAGACTGACTACGACTGCAGGTCCTCCAGCTGGACTCTCTCCTTCCTCCACCTCCACTGGGGCAGCTAATAGAGAGACACCATTCATATCAAAACTTGTTCACAGAGTAAAAGTTGCTAAACATACACTTAAAGGCTGATCTCACAGTTAAAGATGATAGATACTGGTTGAGAAGACCCGATATCATTAGAGAGTGTGATAGAGATGTTGTAGTTGCTGCAGTCACAGGTAATGATGCCAGCAGTACAACTGGTGTTAGGTGTTGAGAGAAGAGGACATATTATGGTCCCTCCTGGAGTCAGGTCCACTGTTGTTGTCTCCTCTCCTGGATACACCACCCCCACCTCCCTCTCTCCCTCCTATATAGAATAACATTGCCAACATGTCTGTGTGCATGTGTACGCAATCAACCACTAGCTGACCGTCCAATTTAGTACAACAGGTCTACCACCACTCAGAGGAACATCGCAGTACATGAAAAGAGACTGTACTGTAGGCTGAGGTGGAACTGAAAAAATCACAAGCATTGGCATCATACCAAATAAGTGCTTCGTATTATCTCTTATGAATTCCACAAACCTCTGGCCTCAATGAAGACAGTGGTGGTGGCAGGCTGACTGGATAGACCACAAGAGTTGATGGCAGTCACTGACACACTGTAACTGGTGTCGAACTGTGGTACAGTAATGGTGGCAGTGAAGAGACATCTCCACTATCATCATGGCTGACAGTCTGGGTCACCCCACCATCAACAGTCACTGCATTATTCACTGATGGTCACTCCACTGCCTCCAGTCATGGCTGGAGACGGCCACTGCACCACTGCTGATGTCTCAGTGTTGGCTGATGCAACCAGACTCAGAGACTCTGGTGGACCTGG